GAGAACACAGGCTGCCTCCCCCACCCCCCAAGGAACTGGGGCCAGTGCCCAGAGCCCTTCCTCCTGTTCTGACACCCTCCACCCTACAGGACTCATAGGCTGCCAGCCACTGACTGCCAGGCACCTGTACAGGCACGGTGGTTCAAGCCTATAATCCCAGTACTTTGGGAGCCTGAGGTGAGGGGACTGCCTGAGATGTACTTTTATTTATTTATTTTTTTTGAGTTGGAGTCTCACTCTGTCACCCGCTGAAGTGCAGTGGCACGTTCACGGCCACTCCAGCATCTACCTGCTGAGCTCAGACGATCCTTCTGCCTCAGCCTTCCAAGTAGCCAGAACTACAGGTGCGCTGTACCACTCCCAGCTAATTTTTGGATTTATTGTAGAGACGAGGTCTCGCCGAGTTGCCCGGACTGTTCTTGAACCCACAGGCACCTGGGATGTGATGGTGACACCCACCCTTCCATCACCTGTGGTTGGGGTTCCCGGGAAGCATCCCTCTGCCTCTCAACACATGGGGGCAGGCACCCAGGCCCTGACCCGCTGGCTCGGGGATAGGCTATGCAGAGGGTTGGAGCCACAAGGACAGTGCCAACGGGACACCAGTCGCCAGCACTGCCTGGGCAAAGCCTGGTGGCTGCCCTCCCCTTCCCTTCAAAAGAGAGCAGCGCCAGAGACCCACCAGTCTTGGGCAGGGCAGGGGAGGGCAGTAGGGGTGGGTGGGCAGCAGGGACGGGTCAGGGGCAGGTGGGCCCCCCTACTTGTCCCAGCATCCTTATCCTCTAGGCCTGCAGTGCCCACAGGAGGACTCCCTGCCAGGCTCCATGGGGCAGAGGAGCAAGGCCTGGCTGTGGCTGCTCCCTCCTGGAGAATGCTCTGGCCCTGGCCCTGGCCTTGCCTCTGGAGGGCTGAGGTTCAAGGGCCCTGCAGAATGGATCCCTTGCCTGACAAGACAGCAAAGAAGCCTCCAAGGGGGATTCCTTGGTGGCTTCGTAGGGACCCTCATGAGGGCTGACCCTGGGGACTGGAGTGGGAGGATACAGCCCCCTCCCTGGGGATAAAGACATCCCTGTGCCTCCCTTCCCGGGGGGACAAATAACACCTGCTTACTTGCTGTCCATCAGCCACATTCAGCAGGCTCCGAGTCCCTAAGCAACTCACTGATGGGGACAGCTCTCACTTTACAAACCTCCAATTTCCTTCCCTCATCCCCCCAAGTCCCCGACCCAGGAGCGACATCCCTCCCCCACAGCCTCTGCCTCCTGCCTCTGGGTGCAGAGGCCCCTGGGGCAGGAATGGGTTTGGGGCTTTCCCTGGCTCTTGGGCCCTGGGATAGCACCCACCTGCCTGCACTGATCTCCCCTCCCTCTGACACGGACAGAACATGGTCAGAGCCACCCAACGGGCAGTCCCAAGGCCCCTCTCCCATTGCTCCTGTCCTTCCTCCAACCCTGCCCCCAAAGGTGCTGGTGACACAGACCCCATTTGCATCCTTGGGGCCAGGAAACCAACATCATCACCATAACATGTTTATTGAGCCATTACTGTGTGCCAAGTGGCAAGGAGGTACCGGGATACCAGCCAAGTCCTGGCGCATCTCACCCATGACCACGGCATGGCCACAAGCTAAACTTGCCCAGAGGGATAGTTCTCCCTGCCTTGCTCCTGGATCCTGCTGTACCTGCACCACACAGACCACGTGTGACACCCATGAGGCCCTTAAATGTCCAGACCCCCATCTCTGCTTCACAGCTCCCCTCTAGGGTCCCCTCTGCCAAAAACCACTCTGTAGTGGAACTGTGTCCTGAGTCCGGGTACCCATGAACGTGACCTACTGGAAACCAGCTATCTGTAAATGAACCAAGTTAATGTGAAGCCATGCCGTGGGGGTCTGGGCCCTAAATCCAGTGACCAGTGTCCTCAGAAGAAGAGGAAAATCTGACACAGACACACATGGGGATACCACATGACAATGAAAGCAGAGACTGTGGTGACTGCCGGGACTCACGGACGCTGAGCAAGTGCGCGGGCCAGAACCATTCCCCCCAGAGTCTCGAGACGGATCCGGGCCCTTCTGACACCTTGACCTTGGACCTCTAGCCTCCAGAGTTATGAGAGAACACATTTCTGTGGTTTTAAGCCACCTGGATGGTGCTAATTTGCTAGAGAAGTCACAGGACACAGACACATCAGCTTATCCCAAAACACGTCCACTGATAGAGTCTGTGTCCACTGAGCATTAACTATGCTCTGGCACTGTGCCAGGCTGGGACCAGCAAAGAACAAGTCAGCCACAGGCTAACTCGGGAGTCCAAGCAGTGTCTCAAGATGCTACGATGGGCATATGATGAAAAAGGGACGTGAGAGCGGACACATGAGTGGAGCTTTGAAGGCTCAGTAGGAGTTGGCCTGGGAGGGCCCGACCCACAGACACACTCCAGGGCCAGGCTGTTCACTTCCTCCTCCTCCATTGCCAGGCAGGCTCTGAGACATCCCTGGCTTTCCGCAACACCCTCGGCGTGAGCCTGTTAGCAGGTGCTGTGGACACGACACACATCTCAAGCATGGTGCATGCAGCTCTTGTGCCCTTCTTGGACCCTGGGTGCATCTATTCCCTGGCAAAACGCCAAGGCCATATCACTACTTGCTGGCCAACCAGCTCAAACAGTAGTCAGCTCAGGTTACAGGCCCACTCTCAGTGGTCAGTGGCTGCTGCCCTGCCCTGGGATGTGCAGTCTGCTGGCAGGTCATCTGTCTGATGTGAGGTTGCCTGGAGTCTGGGGAGCCTTGCTGTAGATTGGGTGTGAAGTGCAAGTGGGGGTGAGTGTGGAAGCAAGGAGAGCTCTGGGGGCAGTGCCTGCTAAGTTCCCAAAGCCAGGTGCCAGAAGACCCTTTGGGTTGCCAGCATGTGCCTGGGCTCAGGGCCCAACCTCTGCCAGGTGTCCCTAGATCAAGGAGCGTGGAGAGAGCGGGCCTTGGAGCGTGGACTGGACTACTGGTTCCATCACCCACCTGCAAGGCCTTAGCCTCCCTATGCCTCTGTTTCCTCAGCTATAAAACAGGATGGCAGGAACTTCCATGAAAAATTAAATGAGTTATGACTTACAGAACCCCTGAACGGTGCCTGGAAACGCAGTAAGGTGTACAGATGTGTTTATTAAATACACAAAGAGGCCAGCCTTGTAAGTCTGTGTTTCTACCGCTGTTCAAATAACCTCTTTCCTGTTGTGAGCCGGCTGAGGTTCCTCATTTGTTAAAGCCATTAAACTTCCAAAACTAGCAAAAGTAAGTAGTCTCAAAATAGATATCAGGCTCGGGGCAACGTTCACGGAGACTGGCACTGTCCAGGCACAAGGGTCCCGGCCATCGGGCTCCCAGGAACCAGGGAACCGCTGTCCACCAGGGGAGTTGAGTAAGAGTTCAGAGGGGAGCCACAAGACGCGCCGGGAGAGTCAAACGGGACGGCTTGCGCCGACTCCTTCTGCATTTGTCTTTTAAAGAAAAAAATTAGAAACGTGAAGCGTCCACTTCTAGATGAAAGCTTTGGCTGAAGTGTCCCCAGACCCCCAGAAACGTCGTCTCCGAAACCCATTCCGAGGCGGACGGTCGGCGCACCCGCAAAGTTCGCCAGCGAGGCTGCGGCCCGGCCCCTGAGCCTGGCCAGTGCTGCCGGACCGAGGCCCACGCGCGGGGCCCTTTGTGCCCGGGAGTGGCCACGCCGAGGAGACGGCCGGCTGTGTACCCGCGTCGCCTCGCGCCCCACTTCCCTCTCCCCTCGACGACTGGCGCGCGGGGGGCAAGGGGCCGTCCGCCCCTAGACCATCGAGGTTGGCGGCGGAGCGCGA